AATAATTATAAATTATTAATTTATTATATAAATATCTACTGGGACATATCGTATTACCAAGGCTCAAGACATTGTCATTTCTGCAGTTGCAGGATAATAAAACTGTTCAATGTCTCCCATTATTTTGGGAGTAACACCAGAGCAGATCACAGGGCTTGAGGAACTAATCTCCTTAAAAATGGAGCAAAGATAAATGTGACTGTGAAATCACACTGCATTATGAATTTAGATGACTACAGTGGAATCTGTTGACATGCATGTGGATGTTGCAAAGCCCAAATGCAATAGTTATGGATGTTCCCTATTCTATTGAGATAAGAATATGCATCAGTCTGCAAGATTTCACACAGCCAAGCATCATCCACTTCATTTAGAAAAGAACACACAATGGTCATGCATGTTTATTCAATGCTATCAGTCAACTGTAGATGTGGCTGATATTGTATAGGAAAAAATACATCTTTCTCAGTACCTTCCACACAGCCAACTGCTGTGACACTACACTGCTGAAACTTGTTACCAGCACATTGTCCATTTAGTTCCTCAAAGCCCATGGCAACATCTTCAATTTTTTATTTGGCAATAGATTTGCACTCTCACTCTAGTTGTAAACATCCAGTTCTCTCAAATCAAGCATTCAAAGGACCTTGACACAATTTTTTCAGGTATTAGAACTTTGAAAGTGCAATAGTTGAACAGTCATAAAACAGCTTCACAAGAAAAGCAGGTTCTGGCAAGGTCATGGTCATTTGGAGCTGATCTGATATAATATGAATGGCATTCCATATGCCATGGGTATTTTATTTTATGTGGTGATTAATTTTATTTCCAGAAATCATAGCCTAAATGCATATGTTGTGCTTTTTTTCTCCCTCTCTTTCTTTCTTGCAATGCACAAATCTATAAGCTTTAGGTTTATTTCCTATCTCCATGTGAAACATCAGCATACAAATTTGGTTTTCATTACTACAATATCCTTCCAGATAGCATTAAATGGGAATACTTTAATTATGAATTCTATCTGCATCTCTTTTGTCATATTAATAGATTCATCACTTGTTCTTTTTAACCAAAATTTATAAGAGCATTTATATAATTTAGAGTTATAAACAAATATAAATTAAAACAAAAATATTTTAAAATCTTTATACTACATCTAATTTTATTTCACTGTTGTTACAATAAGTATTTATTAGCCATTAAAATTTTTTATTTAGAAATATCTGGAAAATGGTGGAAATCTTGATTACGCTCAGCCTCATGATGTCTCTTCATTACTTAAGCAATGGTTTCGAGAATTACCAGAACCAGTTATTCCAAAAAATGTACAAAATATTTTTCTCAGGTTAGTTGTTTAATTTGAAATTAAAAATAGTTTTATTAATAACAATAATATGAAACATTTTAGTATAATGCATTAAGCAATTTAATAATAATAATAATATAATGAATTGAAATAAAATCAATTTTGAATTTTTTTTTTATTATTTAAACCATTTATTAGCTATATTCTGTTTTTGACTTATATTAATCACTGAAAAATCTAGGTTTGGTAAATTATGATTCTACTATAGAATTACTTGAAATTCTTTGTGAAAATGATAGTGTTATGGTCTGAAGATTTTGCCCATAATTTCATCCATAAAATTATAAAAACAAGAGTTTTTTGTTTTTAACATTTAGTTTTGGTTATGAAATGCTTATATATTATGATAACTGAGTTATAAATTCAGTTATTGAATAATTGCACATTGTTTGATTGGATATTTCTCTAATTCATGTGTATCTATGTGATGACTTGCTGAATTTTCAAGATGTTAATATTAAAATTTTTTAATGGATTATAATTTATTTTACTTTTGAAAATGTTTATCAGTGATGGTAACAAGTGAAATATAAAGAATATTTTAAAAATAAATAAATGTCTAAGTAAATCAAATACTGTAGATTAAATACAGTCGACCCCTCTATAACGCGGTAGATACGTTCCGCTTTATAAGAATTTCACGTTGTAGGAATCCTTAAATACCTGAGCCAATCACAGCCCGACACATGTGCAGTTTATGAACTACGGCTGTTTGAAAGGTTTTCTTCCATAAAATTAATTGTTTCTAGACTAATTTCACTCAACATTTCCAAAACACGCATAATTTTTTGGGAATAATCTGTATAAACTATGCTATAAACAAAAAATTATAGGATTACTTACCAAGTATGCACCGTTCGATGATGCCATTGCTTAAGCTAGTTTTTTTCGCAGAGTAGTGTACCAAACGGCAAGCGCGTTTTCTGATAAGTTATTTTTCTGCGAAAAATTCATTGAACTTTGGAGACATCATTAATAGAAATAATTTTTATGGCCGTTGAATAAGAAATGTATAAAATTACAGTACTGTATTAGACTTACAGTACCTAATTTGTATACTGTACAGACGATAGTAAACTCAACTTACCTGCTTAAACTCTCCGTAGCGTGTAAGTAATTTGGCTGCTCGTCCACTATTGATCCAGATTCGACCAATCCTGTTGCAACACAAGTCGGCGATGACGTTTTACCACATTTTACGAGTCTCTTTTAGCGTCTTTATACGAATACAGTCACAATTTTTTTGCCACGATATACAAATCCGCATTATATGAACCCACGTTATAGGGGGTCTACTGTATTTTTAATTTGTAAAAATTTGTTTTTCTAGGTGTTATCAAGTAGACCAAAATATATCTGCTTGTTTGTTAGCTTGTCTTCTTCTTCCTCCAGACCACCTTTATACCTTACAACATACAGTTAATTTTTTTTCAAATATTGCTAAAAACTGTTCTGAAAATAAAATGGATTCTCACAATCTTGCTTTGATAATGGCACCAAATCTATTACCATCATCACATTCAACAACAGGAAAAGCAAAGTAAGTAATATTTAAATTATGATCATGATCTGTAAACAAATTAAAAATTAAAAAACTATTTTTTAATTTTCCTATGATTTAATTACAGTAGAGCATCGATTATCCGACCCCCGATCAACCGTCACATTGGTTAACCGACCGTTCTAGTCGGCAAATTTCAAATGTCCGCTAGTGATGTGGCGCTACAATATTTGGCTATGTCTTGGTTACTTTAATATTATTTTTGTTAAATTTTTGCGTATTTTAGCTGGCAACACTGGCTCGACCATGAAAGGGAGACCAGTATTTAATCAAGGCTTAATTTTCTAATTATAAGCGGTTGTTTGCTTTGTGAGCAATAAAATAATTTAAAAATAATTTTTAATTATGCAATAGCAACGATTAATATTTAAAAAAAAAATGTTAGGCTTAACATCGATGAACATTCAACGCAAAGTAGGTTAATAGCGATATACTAATTACATGGGATATACTAATATAATAATATACTATACTAATAATATATTTTTTCATACTTTTTGGTTATCAATTTTTTTCAGTTATCTGACCAACCCCAGTTGCCAATTGAGTCGGATAATCGATTCTCTACTGTACTTATTTTGTTGAAGTAGTTACAGTAGAGTCCCAAAAACTCTGCACTCGATAATCTGGCAGTCTGGATAACTCTGCCACACCCTGGCAGGGCAAAAAATCCCCTAGTTAATTTTCATTATACAGCTTTATGCCTCATAAAGTATTTTTCTGAGGTCTGTCTTATCAGGTAAATTACTGTACACTGTGTATTTATTAATTTTCATTTTCATGTAGTAAAGGCTCTATGCCTTCATAAAGTACATACTTTTCCCTTGTTTAAGGGTATTTGGGCAGTTTATTCTCTGTTGTATTCTCAAGCAAACAATACATACAAGTACAGTACAGTATTTTCTGAGGAAACACTCGTACTTATTCTTTTTTAACCCCATTCCTGATAACCCGGCATTTTCACAAACTTGGCCAGTCTTCAGTCCACATTAGGTCGCGTTTTCAGGACTCTACTGTATTAACAAATCTCATGTTCCAGAGCACTTTGACATGAGATGTGAAAAAAATAAACATTGATTTTATAAGTAAATCGTTCCTTCCAATAATAATAATTGATTACTTTTAGTAGTGTTGATAATTTGGAGATGATGGATACATTATCAGCTTTAAGTTTATGTTGATAAAGTGGAGTTTGCAAAAAAAGCTTGCTCAATACATGAAATATTTTTGTACGTCAAGCAGTATTGTGATATAATTAATTGGTTAATCTCAACAAAATACCTGAGATAAAGTAGTTTAAGAATAAATACTGTAATAATCCTTTACAATAATTTTAATAAATACAATATATGTTAAAACAAAAAAGTATAAAAGTTCTTCTAAAGAATTTGTTTTCAAAGAATTGCTTTTCTTTGATGTGTTTTTTTGTTAACTACTTCTGACATAAAATAATTAATGATATTACAATATGTTCCAAAACATTTCCTTTTTCTAAGTTGGATATAACTCTTATCTCATAAGTCTTAACCACATTTATAATTTATATATATTTTATCAATACAGGAAATCCTTGTTAATTTAAACTCAAATAGTTCAAAATTCCATTATTCACTACATCTAATTTTATTTCACTGTTGTTACAATAAGTATTTATTAGCCATTAAAATTTTTTATTTAGAAATATCTGGAAAATGGTGGAAATCTTGATTACGCTCAGCCTCATGATGTCTCTTCATTACTTAAGCAATGGTTTCGAGAATTACCAGAACCAGTTATTCCAAAAAATGTACAAAATATTTTTCTCAGGTTAGTTGTTTAATTTGAAATTAAAAATAGTTTTATTAATAACAATAATATGAAACATTTTAGTATAATGCATTAAGCAATTTAATAATAATAATAATATAATGAATTGAAATAAAATCAATTTTGAATTTTTTTTTTATTATTTAAACCATTTATTAGCTATATTCTGTTTTTGACTTATATTAATCACTGAANACTCCTTTGTCCCGAAATTGGGTCACTGACCACCCACATTCAGACGAAAGTTCCAGAAAGTATAGAAACAGAACAAAGAGAAAAGGGAATAGAATATTCTTATATATACATATATAAAATAAAAAACAACAAAATATACTGGTGTACCACCACAATGCTATCTTATTTTTATTTTTCCAAGCCAGTTCATTTACCCACCAAATGGGTGGTTTGTTTATACTATTATACCACCAATTTTTTTGTTTGTACTATTTGGACATGATTAAATGTTACGTTGTAACTTATACATTAAGAATCTATTAATTATTACATTTTGAACATTCATTGTTCTGCTGAAAGTGATCTTTGTTTAGTGATGTTCAGGATATTAAATCTTCAGACATTTTCAATTATATTTCACAGATAGTGTTTCTATATTGTATGAAGAAATCCATTTACTAAATCCATCCTGGCTATGTAAATAATCAGAAATAATGATAGGATGGTGTCAGTTGATATTTTTTTGGATGAGAGTTAATAAACCTAAGCCATGTCTATGGAAGCTTTTTTAGTAAGAGCATGAAAGAAATGAGAAGCAGATTTTTTTTTCTACATTTCTGTAAGCAGAGTTTAAAATCTGCTACTCATAAGAACCCCTCCCCATTAACTCCACATCCTCACTCATTGGGAATTCAGAGAACTCGGATCACGAAGGAGAAGGAATAGCTTGGTCCTGGAAAGAGGAGAGAAAGGTTCCCATTTCTCTCCTCTTTCCTAGACTTTTTACCTTTCAACCTGGATTTGTGTGGAATGGACATAAAATTCATCTGTTCGTGTGTGGTCACCTTTCTTTTTAGTTCTATTATTGTATTCATAACCTTTGGTGATATTAAAATTTTTATTTTTGCACATCCTAATCTGTTTACACTGTAGAACTCTGTTACTAGATTGTGTGACTGCATAAATTGGAATGTTAGATTTAGATGATTCCCAGATTAAAATGTTTCAAATAAATAAATGGTTTTGAAAGGTGGTGATTAAATTCATTCCTTTTACTGATGAAAATCAAAATTGAGATTAGTGAAGTCAATGTCATTTCAGATATATGAAATTGACTGCAACTTCTTTCTAAGACAACATAACATCTTTTACCTTGATATTAGACTTGGAGACTCAATCAGATACTATAACAAGGATTTCTTCAAAGGTTTGAAAATGACTCTTGTATTCCCTTTACAAAACTCTCTCTAATTTTTCCAAATCTTTTTTCAACTCCTGCAAAGTTTTCTTTGATGTATAGTTGATTCCTCCCTCTAAATGGAGATTTGAACTGTTGCCAAAAGTTTTATAGTGATTAAATAAATGAAGTTTAAGATTAATTAGAAATAGGTGAAAATGCTTTCCCAGAAAGTCTGTTTCTGATAAGAAATTGATCATACATGGCATTTTATATCTGATACAACATAATCCATGTTCTTGTCCAAATAGACTTTCTCACACACCTATTTTCAAACACTAATTTATAAATTAAATAAGCTCTTATTCATCTTACAATATTTGATGTCTCATCTCATGGATTATTTTCACTTCTGACATGAATGTTAATTTTGTCATAGTTGTTATCATATTGGCAAAATTCTTTTCTATCTCATATTTTATAAAGATTAATAATTGTTTTGAATTTTAATGATATTTGCATATATTCATATTTAATAATTTATTATTTTGTAGCAAGTTGCTTGAATATCAGATTGGAATAGTGCGTCTTCTAATTGATAATTCTGCTCATGTTGGACAGTTTCCTTCTGACATTGCTGAAAAATTAGGTTATCATAATGTAACATTACAAATTGATTCAGAAAGTTGCTGTAATGGATCAGAGAAATCTGATATTCCTGATGAGCAACCAAAGGCAAAGAAGAAACGGCGCAGTGGAACCGTCCAAGGTAAATAAAGAAAAAACATGTTTAACCTTTCAGCAGTGAGTTAGTCAGGTATGGTACTATCCCTATGTAGTGGAGAATAAATGTGGGAAATTTTTTAAGTATTTTCCCACGCGTTTTTTTCTCATTACTGTTTCAGTAAACAGTTACGTCTAGTAAAGAAAAATCTTTTTTATTGTTATATAATTCCTTTTTTATGTGAATTTTTTTTTTCATGGTAGTTTTTGGCGATATCCACAAAATTCTTTTTTGGATACAGCCATCAGTCACCACTGCCACACGATCGCCCTTGATGGATATATCCGTCGGTCGCTGCTGAGTGGTTAACAACAAATTTCTTTACTTGAAAAATTTTAAATGATAATTTATTATAATTGAAAGATATAAAATTAGTTTTTTAATTTCTATATCTAATTATTCTGTTTCCACACAATTTTATAAAGAACAACATTACACTTTTATGAAACTGCATATAAATATTTCCTCATTTTAGACATTTTAGATTTCTATCACATAAACAAACCATTAATACATTAATTGAAAAACAAGTATGTGAATTTATTAACATTAAGTTAGAAGTAATATTCTAAAATTTTATTTTTGTATTTGTATTTCAGAACTTGTAAGTGGAATCCGAAAATTTGTCACTCATGGACGTGTTTCTGTTCAAACTACCTCAGAAATCTCTTCAAATTTGCCACCTCCTTTAGTATTCACCTCAAATGAGAAACATTGCAAACCTGTAAATAAATCTGCATCAAAGCGTAAAATAAACAATGAAATTCAATCAAGAGAAAATAACTATAATCAGTAATTAAATTTATATATTTTCAAAATTATATGAAATTTTTGAAATAGGAATATAATTCATACTTATTTCAGATCTTACCAAAATGCATTGTCTTATGACATATTAAATACAGAAAAAACAAATGGTAAGTTTATTAACTTTTTACTGATGATAATTTTGTATATCTATATTTTTTCTTATGAAATTTAGTTTACATTGTTGTAAAATAATTTTATAATTTTAATGTTTAATTTCTACCAGCTTTATTAAAAAGTAAATTCAATTTAAATATGTTTAAAGTGTCACATTTATTTATGTATAAATTGAGCATGAGTATATTAATACTTATATTGATTAGTGTTATACTTTTAAACATCATAACATATATGTTATGTAAGCTGGTAGAAATTAAACATTAAAATTATAAAACAATTTTACAGCAATGTAAACTAAATTTCATAAGAATATATATATTTTATATTTTTAAAAATAATAAAATAATAATAATTTTTAATAATCTTATGAAATTTAGTTTACATTACTAAAAAATATCTATTTTTTATTTTTATTATTAAATTTATTAAATCATATTAATTATCTAATTTTACAAATGGTCTTATTTGAATAGCCTATAAAAGAAGATACAACTGGCAGAATTAAAGTTTTAAGAAACTATACTGTATTTACTCAAATGTAAGACACTTTTTCAGGTTTTAGTATCTCTGAAAATAGGATTGTCTTAGATTTGATATAATACATCATAATTAATGACTTCTAGTATTTGCATCTTATTTCTCTGTCACTAATTTCATTAAGTCATTTTAATAATTTTATTAGGCCAATATTTATAATAGTAAATATTTGAGATATGCTTAGCTCAATTTTGTTAGTCTATTACAGTAACATCATAAGTAATTGTATGAAAATCATAGAAAAACAGGACACTTGTCAACTGAGTTACTGCCAGACATCTGGGCGATAAAATAAAAGATGAATAATAAACAAAATTTTTTATTATTTTCTTTATTAATATCACTATTATTTTCTATTGATCTACTACTAGTAAATTTAAGTATTTTTAAGAAATTAGTTAAAAGAATGATTTTGTAATTAACAAACATATTTATACATGTTACATATTTTATTTATTTATTTTTACAAGTAAATAGAAAAGTCTGGAAGTATAGTTGATATCTACTCTCCAAAATTAACAAATATAGGCAACGAAAAACAAAGAAAACAATTCAATTATTAAAGAATTATTAAAGAAAACAATTACATAAAATTTTAAAAATACATTACAATAATTATAATAAATACAATATATGTTAAAACAAAAAAGTATAAAAGTTCTTCTAAAGAATTTGTTTTCAAAGAATTGCTTTTCTTTGATGTGTTTTTTTGTTAACTACTTCTGACACAAAATAATTAATGATATTACAATATGTTCCAAAACATTTCCTTTTTCTAAGTTGGATATAACTCTTATCTCATAAGTCTTAACCATATTTATAATTTATATATATTTTATCAATACAGGAAATCCTTGTTAATTTAAGCTCAGATAGTTCAAAATTCCATTATTTCGTAACTGTACTTTTATCCCAGCCAGGGATATAGATAGAGTGACCAAATTTTTCTCAGCAAATTCAGGAACACATGTCAATCATCACTTTTTAGGGTACACAGTAGCAGCCTACATGTATAAGTACTGTTAAATGAGTACAGGTAGCCCTCGGTTTACGCCGCAGTTCCGTTCCTACAAAAGCCAGCGCAAATCGAATTGGTGTAAAATGAACCCGTATTTACAGTGAGGTATAGGGTTAGGTTCTACATAAGTGAAAAATAAGCTAATAATTTTGTTTATTAATACAATATAAAAGACGAATTAAAGTACAGGTAGCCCTCGGTTTACGCCGCAGTTCCATTCCTACAAAAGCCGGCGCAAATTGAATTGGCGTAAAATGAACCCGTATTTACAGTGAGGTATAGGGTTAGGTTCTACATAAGTGAAAAATAAGCTAATAATTTTGTTTATTAATACAATATAATACAAAATACATATAAATTTTTAATTTTTAAAATGTATTTTATCATAAAATAAAGTAAAATGTTTTTATTTAAAAATTTTAGTTTCGAATTTCTTACATTTTTCGGAAAAAAGTATCCATCTTTAATTGTTTACATTTTTGATTTCTTTCATTAAGAATTTCGGAATATGGTCGAATATGATGCTCCTTTTTACATTTGCACTTTGCTCCCAACATTGTCTAACTCACAAACTTCATCCGCCAAACTTTCCTTAGTTGAAAGGATACTTATATAAGGTCAGTTTGAGCGGGAAAATTCAAGGTGGCTAAGGAGAGATAGATATCGTCTGGCCAACGAGAAGTAGATTTGTCTCACTAACAATAATTTGTGATCGCCGGAAGTGCTATTGTGTTGTAAGGTGTTTTCCTGAATGAACTGATACGGGATACATTCATTGGCGCTATGGATTCGGACGCCATTTATTGGACTATTAAGTTTAATATCTTGACTCATGGCTACCTAAACGTTTAGTATTTTAATATTAATTTAATGCAAATGTATACATACCCAATAATATTAAACAGAAAAAATAAATATATTTAATAAAAATCTTTGTTTTACCGAATGTACAATGTCGCAGCTCGGTAAATATGTCAACACTGAAATGAAAATCAGTCTAGCTAGGGAAAATGGGGGAATTACACCTGGAAACGGCAAATTGCGCAGTGGCGTTATTGTGAATTGCTGTAAATTGAACCGGCATAAACTGAGGGCTACCTGTACTGTATGTACCCAACTGAGACCTAAACATTTTAATTTTGATTGAGCTTGTTTGTTTCAATCAAATAGCTCTCCTCTAATAAGGTTTATAGCTATTTATTTTTGATGCATTTTAGTTATATTTTTGTTGGGCTGCAATTTGAAAAATTGTTAGACCTATAAATTCTCATTGCCATTTATCTGTCTTCCTTAATCTCAAAAACGGAGTTAAATAGATGAAAGTTGAGACCAGATATGGAAAGCATACTGGCAAGAGGCCCAATGAGCTATATATGAACTGCTTTGGATCAGAAGTCACATTATTTCAATTCAAAATTTTCCCCTGAGAAGGAATTAGATTATCTGCATGACTCTATTGCTAACAGGAAAAGTATAATGTACAGAGGCAAGACTACTAAAAGAATTGTGATGAAGTCACAATAAATAATTTCTTGTTCTTGTTATAAAGTTTGGCTCATTTTGGCATTTCCTTAAAAAATGGTTATTTCATTTTAAAAAATTACCTGGAAATGCTGAAGACATTGGACATGTCCTCTGGCGGGAAAACTGTGACAGCAAGAATATTACAGTAACCACAAGGAAATGAAAAAATGGGACAAATAAGTAAGACTCCATTCCGTGGACGCTTCCTTGCTGGGGACAGAGGGTCAGAAATGGGGACTGTCCCCAATTTGGGGACAGATGGTCACCTTAATATAGAGATTTAAAAGTTAAGGAATTCAGTTAGTTTGAAGTATGACTACCTTGAAATTCAAAGTGAAAATTTTGTCCAAACTGTAATATGCTATGTTAACTCATTCGTTTTGATTGAGGTACCTCCATGCTGTAAGACGGGTGGCCAACCTTTTGCATACCATTCGCCAATTTTTTGACAGACGAGTTCAGATGCGCCATATAACTCGAACACTTTTTATACAGCCTTACGTTCAATGTTAGGGGTTGATAAATAGAGATAAGAATAAATCTGCTTCGCTTAGGAAAGAAAAGGGAATAACTTAATCATGCAGTTGAATTAATTACTTTATGACAGTTTATTGAAGCACCAATTTATAATAGTCAACAATGATCTCTTGTACGAGAGGGTGATTGCTTCATGATGGTGCTATAGCTGCCAGAGTCTCGTTTGGTGAAGATTACTCTGCACCACAATTATTGGCACTGAGAACGAGATCAGCTTAGAATAACTTTAATCACAATAAATGTTTTTGGCCATTTACACGCCTGTAAACTGATCGGAAATAAAGATCGCAAGACTCAAAATACATGCATGTATTTTGAGTCTTGTAATTTACTATGTGGAGAACATTCATTTTATCTGCAAAATAGACTGTAACGAATTGTGCAACAAATGAACTTGCCAAGACAGACTATAAAAAATTTATTTTTCTATATAATATTCTTAATCGCAAAAAAGCCAAATCTGGCAATTTTGCTCAGAACTAACTGAAGCGGCACTTGTAATCGTCCAATGCGCCACGTTTGGCGCATGCGCCATGTTTTGGCCACCCCTGCTGTAAGAGAACAATTCTAATCTGGTTAATATGGCTTTGCTTTTACTGTAACACATTTTCAGGTGTTGTCTTATCCATGAACTACCCTTTTCTTCTCTTATCTCATAAAGTACAGCTGGTTTTTGGGATTGCCAGATTGGGCTACAAGTAGCAGATTGATATATATGTAGAGCTCTACACTACTAGATTTGAGTAACTTACTACTTTTTGGGCCACTTTAAAAATAATATGGACTACATTTTGTGGAATCTGCTTTACTTTTTTATAAAACTATCTGGCAACGTATGAGGTTCTCAACAGACAACAGACACATGCAGTTTTCCTTCACATTTATATTATTATTATTTATTAATTAATAATTAACAAAAATAATGTTCTTTGTATGTATCCATATTCAATTTACTTAATAAATTACATTAGTTACATGGCATTTGGCATATTGTACAGATACACATAAATCTCAGATAATTCAAAACTTGATAATTTAAAGTTACAATTATTTCATCCCTCAAATTTCAAACCAACGAGGATTTCCTGTATTTACAATAAATAAATAAATAATATCTGTTAAATCATATCTTGGTAAGCATGCAAAAAATTTTTTTAAGTTTCTATTGCTCAGTTAACCGTCACCCACTTGATTATAACCCATTGTGAATTGTCTAATTGTCATGTACCCAAAAAAACTGTGGAGCATTCTTTCAAGGAATGTTGAATTTTTAATGATTTAAATGTTACTGAGGACGATTGTATATGAAAAGATGTGTTGAATCCAGTGTTGATTCAGAAGATCCTAACGTGGAAAGTGGAGAAATTGTTGACTTTGATACTCAAGACAGTAATATATAAGTTACTTTACTAGCACTACAAATTTATATTTACATTTTTTTTTATAAATCTATGGATGAACATGTAGAAATTAAGGTGTCTTAGATTCAGTTGTGTCTTACATTTGAGTAAATAGGGTAAATGCCCAAATGTTTAAATTATGATAATGACCATATTTTAAGATGTAAAATGACCTTTAAATTTTGATTTTTTTTTCCCCTCCTCTCTCCTCTGATCACTTTGACTATACTACGGGCAAGAAATATGGAGAATTTTTCTGCCAAAATATTTGCAAAAATAGAACAGATAAAAAGGAACACAAGATTCTGTCTAATTACTTGGATTATTATTGATATCTAGTTTAGGAAATTTCATATCTATAATCAAATGACCATAAACTGTAGATAAGTATTAGACTAATAACATTTTTCACTTCTTTTACTTCTATAATTATCTTCATTACAATTGCTTACAATTATTCAGCTTGTAAAACTTTTATATATTTATGATCTAGAAATTATAGTGACAGTTAAGAACTACAATGGAAACTTTTTTATATAATGATGTAATGATATCATTATGCAATTCTTTTTGTCATCTGTTACATTTACAATGCAATTATTTTGACCTATGTGATAATTTTTTTCAAATTGGACTGCAATTTGAAAAAATTGTAGACCTATAAATTCCCGCTGTTATCTGTCTATCTTTCCTTAATCTTGAGAATGGAATTAGATAGATGAAATTCAACCACTAGATATAGAAACCTTAGGGGCAGGAGGCCCTGATTAATTATATATGAACTGACAATGCAAACTGGAAGTCACATTATTTCAATTCAAAACTTTTCCCCTGAAAGCAGTTAATAGAATGACTCTATTGATAAAGTAAAAATATGATCTACAGGAACAAGACACTACTAATTTGAGGGGAGCACATATATTTTAAATTAAGTACAGTGGTGCCTCATACAACGTACTTAATCTGTTCCAGGTGCACGTCCGTTATACGAAACGAATTTTCCCATAGATATACATGTTAAAACATAATTTGTTCCGCAGCATAAAATAACCGTACTGTACCATAAAAAATGAAAATGGAGCAGAAAGCAATTATGCTGGGTAGTCAGATGTTGTGAGGAGGAGGTGGAAGAACACTTTCTTTACACATTCATACAGATACAGACTTTTTACACATTGCAGAGGGTCTTTTTTTATTGTTTTTTAATCGGAGTCAGATTCAGGAGAGGCTACCGGAACTTGCAGGGTCAAATTCTCTTGTTCCATCCTTTGTTTTTTGCCCGCTGCCTTCTTGAAAAACATGACCAAGGTGGTCTGTTTCTCTTTCTTCTTTAACACCTGTCGGAAATGATGGACAAAGGTGTCATCGTAGAGATCATTGATCCGGTTGGCCTCAGCTCTGTTTGGATAATAAGTGTTGGTAAACTCCTGAACCTCTCCCCATTCGACAAGAAAGATTTTGTCAACTTTCACTCCTGATGATTTCTTGCTTTGTTTCAATTGAAATCACCTTTCTGTTTTTTTTAGAAGCCATGATGCATTATAAATGACTTAACTTCCCAGATTATATGATACGAATAATTCTTTATTAATTAAGATCACTAAACACTTCTACGAGCTACTCTCGCTCCGTTTGTTTTTTACAACCTCTTTTCGTCCCGCCACCTCGACATCTACACAATTACATTTCGTTTATTTGAATCGTCAACATATATTACATTACATTCTAATAATACTAATATATCCTAAAAATAGCAGATTGTCATTGGCAACGGCAAAAGAGTGGAAACATTATTCGCACTTGTTCGAAAAAAGTCCATTGTTCGTCTCACGTAACTGCCGAACGGAAAGTCCGTTGTTCGCAGCAAGTCCGTTGCTCGAGTCATGTAACGGTCAAACAGAAAGTCCATTATTCGAGGCATACGTTATATGAGGCACCACTGTATATTAAAAATTGCAGCCTGGCATTGTGATGATGCTACAATAAATAATTGCTTGATGTTATTTAGATAATGTTTGGATGATTTATATCATTTAGATAAGCTGAATGTTCTTACAAGTTATATAAAGCTAAATTTTGTTTAAATTTTTACACAGAACAATAATTCTAATAATAAATTTATTAATATTGTTGGTTTATTATTTACTAGTGTAAATATTTATTTAGGTTTAAGCAAATGTTTACATAGAAACAGTCAAATAGTTCTCAATTTGAAAATATGGAATCTGAGACTGGACAAAACTGTTAGCTCTTCAGTGCAGAAGATTTAAACTATTCTTTAAATCTTCTGCACTGAAAGAGTTACTGCAGACAAATCTCAATAATACTTATGATTATCTGAAAGCAATATATTAATTAATTAAATATTTAGAAAATATTTATCTTTTAAGTTTCTATTAAGTTTAATGTATTTTATTTAGCAGATTCTTTGGAAGTCACCTCAGGTTTATCAGCTTGTGACATGATTTCTCTTAGTGATATTGATTCCCCAATTGGTATGATATATCAAACTCCAGTTATTCAGACTAGAAGACGATCACTAAGATTACTAAAAAATAAACAAAAGAAGTATGATCTTATAAAAATTAAAATTAATTTATTTATGGTAATTTTATTATACTTACTTTATTATTTTATGTAAATGTAGAAATTCAATTGATAATTCCAAAGGATATTTAAAAATATCAAATAAGAACATTAACAGTCCTCCAAAGACTTTTATGAAGGTAATTTTAAAATTATATTATTATAAATTAATTTGTAGTCATAACTGATAAATTTACACCACTATTATAAGTTCTATTATTAAATTAAATTCTTTATACTAATCACAAAAATATTACTGTTTTAAAGTTTGAAAAACTTTGTATAGTCAAACTTCGATTTATGAATGTAATTCATTCCTAAAAGATGTTCTAAAACAGAAACAAATTTTCCCATAAGAAACAATATAAAATGGGTTTTAAAAATATTACAATTAATACAAAATGTTAAAAGAATAGATCAAGGACAATAACTATGTATATAAAAGTATTCACATATTTTGAAAAAAACACTAAATCTTCATTTCAATGTCCTCAAACCCTTAGGAACAAGACCGTCTCTACAGCAGAGTTGGCCTTTTTATTGAGGCTTCTTATCTGCCTCAGTATGTAAAACTTTTAAAAACAGTTCCTGGCTGATGGCCCAGTCACATTAAAATATTACAAAATGTGTGAATAGTTTATATAAATATAAAATGGATTAATCCATTACTGAACTCCAAGATAAACCCTCTTTTTTACCATTTTATCTGTATTTCATGCATAAAAATGCCTACAAATGCAATATAATATATATAATAAATATTTGTTATTTAATTTGACTTAAGCACCTTTAAACATAAATTCTTGGATGCCATTTATATTATGTGAATGGTTTTTATTAATTAACATGATTAAATTTAATTGTGGCACGTATCAAAAAATGGAAGAAGTATCTTTACCAACATTTGTATTGAAACCTAATTTAAATAGTGACATAATCAATGATTCATTTCATGATGTTTAATGATGAGAGGTGATCTCACTGCTACTAACTTCTGAATCTGTAGTCCTGTCATTGATTGGTCAGGCTATTGACTTTCTTTAACATAGAAACTTTAGGGAGTTGACCATCTGTGGCTGGATCTTAGAGTTATCATACAGTAACTAGTGCAACTAAGAGTTTGAAATTTGTTCAAAAGCAGGTTTGACTGTAAATCTTCAAAAGATATTTAACAATTCTATTACTTATTTCTTGAAAACAAATTCACTAAAAGTCTCTAAATTTTAATTTTGCGATATGGTATACTTTTATGCAGAATGAGAATTAACACTTTTGTAAATTGAGAAGTAATTTAATCATTTATTCACTCAAACTTTTTACGTAAAAAAATTATTTGCCTAGTTGACTTGTAAATTAATAGTTATAATTGCATTTTATCAACTCTGGAATTAAGATTCATTTGAATATAAATTATTATTTTCTATAAAAAATTATTTTGGATCATACAGATATACCTCGACTTACGTCGTTTCGAGTTACATCGTTCCCGATTATACGTCGTTTGTCAAAAAAGTATACGGAAAAATAAAAATCAAGTTTAAGTCATTTTATTCGACTTTATGTCCGTCCGCCACAAATATTGAAGTCGTAATATCACTAGAAAAGCGTTTAAAGCACATAAAATCATATTAAAATATATACATTTACAAGTATGTACTGTATTTACAGTACAGTACATGCATTCGTAAATTTAGATTACTTTTTTCTGTACTCTATTAAAAACTAAAATTTATTTGTTTGTAAGCTTAAAATAGATTCTTATTAACCATATATTATTAAAAATGCATTAATAAATAAAATACAGAACTGGGAATAGTAATTTATGGTTTAGCCTAGTGGCAAGTAGATTCGGAGACAAGTAAATTCGACTTACGTCGTTTTTCGACTTAAGTCGTTTTCCTGGAACCAATTACCGACGTAAGGCGAGGTATACCTGTATTAATGCAATTTTCTTGTTTTTTTTTTTTTTGCTTTGTTAAAACATTATAATAAATTACCAAATATCTTCACTTACTCTATAATAATCTTGCTTTTATAATTTAATTTAAATAAGTTTTCCTGACTAATTACTTCCTATAGATTAACCTGAAAAACTGATTCTTAACTCCCTAGTACTTTTAAGCTTGTCTGGTTTATCTGCAAGAACTTCTTCCTTCACTGCATTTCTTCTTCTTTCTCCCAAATCCATGATTTCTCTTTTGTCCCAATGTTTTCCTCTTTCTTTATTTCTTCCAAATTGTTATTTTAACAGAAATGGCCTTGGATAAAGAAAATGTCATCATTCTACTTTTCAAACAGTCCTTCCGATGTTCCTTGAGTTCTATCATACTTTTTAGGGTCCTTTTATCCTTCCAATATAATATGCTTACTCCTGGGTTCTTTTAGCTATTGATATTATGTTATTCCTGATTTGTTCATTATGTCCCCCTTTTCTTTCTTGTTCCTGACAGAATTAGAGTAGAGTTAGAATTTTTTAATACAATCTTCCAGGTAACTCTCTCCAAAGTTCTGTAGAAGCTTGGGCTCTAGAAATCCAACACACAGTGTAAAGAATCCCTTTTTTCTGTTAATTCTGTTTTGCTTGGGTGTCACACACTTGATGTCCAAAACTATTTTTTGAAAGCTGCTTTTAGTAAACCCATATTTTTTTGCTAGTTCCCTCAAAACCTGCATTTCTGTCTATAAATTTTCATTTAGAGAACAACTTGAAAGCTCTTCATATTAGGGTTTCAAAGGCTTTTTTGTATACTTATGGTCCTAGGAGTCAGAGGGAATAGAAATCAGATTGAAAGACTCCTTTCTATAAACACACATTGGTCCTTTCATAATCAAACATTCAAGAAACATACCTGTTCCTTAGATTCTTGCCTCAGCCTCAACTTGAAACCTAGGGAGATATTAGAAAGCATATTTACAAAAAGTTTTATATTCATCAGTCATTTCCATGTGAGAACATGACATCAATGTACTGTACATCCTGTAGAATTTTCTCATTTTTAAATTATTCTAGCAAGAGCATTTTTACTTCTCTCACCACCAGCTCTGCCAAATCCTTTGCTAGAACTTCTATCCTCTAAATATAAAACCTTGCATTAAACTTAAATAAGATTAAAAATCATAATGTAAAATATCATGGGAAGCACTATCCATTTCCATTTCCATTTCCTTGGTCACCTTGGCCAGTATCTGCTCTAATTTACATGTAGGAGAACTGCACTTTTCTACTATTTTCAAAAAATAATTGTGTGTGTGAAATGTGCAGCACCCAAGTAAAACATTGAATGAACAGAAAGAAGGGTCCCTTTATGTGGATTCCTGAGTCATTCTAAAGCCCAGGCTGAGTTTTTACAGAACTTTGGAGAGAATGACTCAGAAGAAGTTCATATTAAAAAGAAATTTTACCCTGTTTGATGTTGTCAGGAATGAGAAAGAAAAATGGGAAAAGTTGAATCTATATATTATCAATTGTTGAACAGACTCAGGAACAAGCATATCATATTTGAGTGATGAAGATGATTGTAAGTGTATGTCTCAAGGAACATTAGGAGGACTGTTTGAAAAGTAGAATGACAATGGCATTCAGAAGCAGTCTTGGATAAAGGAAATGAGGGAAGAAAACATTGGGACAATAGATTTGGGAGAAAGGGTGTATGTGATTCAGAAGTGGTTAATATCACAGATGGGGAGTTGTTACCAGCAGCTTGGAAATGTGTTGTCAAGGAAAGGAGAGAGTGAAAACAAAAGAAAACAAGAAGTTTGAATGAAAGAAAACATCTGGGAGAGGACATTATATTGCTTAATAGTTTTCACTTTTTAAACAAATAAAAAATGTTTCAAAGATAATAGAAAACTTGGAACATGTATATAATGTAGAATTGCTTGAATGCAGGTTCAAAAATTTGAACTTCTGTGAAGGAAGAAGCTCCTGCATATAAACCAGATAGACTTAAAAGTACAGTGGAACCCCGGTTAACGAACTTAATCTGTTCCACGACTCTGTTCATTAACTGAATTGTTCGTTAACCGAAGCAATTTTTCCCATAGAAATTAATGCAAATGCAATTAATCCGTTCTAGTCTCCGAAATTTTTCTCATTTTATTTGTAATATACAGTAATTTTCTTTGATGAAAATGTAGGAAAACGTAGTATCTATCATTACAGCAACAAACATGTAAACTTTGCTTAATAAAATAGCACTGTACATACCTTCGTTTGTTGTAGTTGCTGGCAGAAGAGTGGAGATATACGAACCTTAATGCTTGGAAAGGGAATCCCCTCCAAAAAAGATAATAGGTAGCACTTCATCGGAAGATTCTTTGAGTCGAAGTCTCTTTCGGTAAAAAACCTACCAGTGGCTAAGTAGTCTTCGTATCTTGAACACGGGGAGTTCGTTCATGGGTTCGCACCTCACTCAGACGGGCTGGCCACGTGGAGTTTCCCGGGATTTCTCCACGTCTGTAACCCCTAAATAGGGGCCAGTTTCCCTTAAAAACACCTCCCAGAAGGCATTCCCCCTAGTCAGATCCCCAAGTGTGGTATTGTCATAACTTAACAAAGAAACAAACTCTTTGCGTAAGGAACAAGAAATTGATCTAAAGTTGATTGTCTTACTCTTTTAATCAAAATTTTTCTCAAATACAATAGTGCATTGTCATTTTCTAATGCCACTATGACTTTGTTCTTTCTTTGATGCCATATTGATTAAATATATAAATCACAAAACTGAAAAAAAGAAGTATAGCACAAACACTCGGAAAAGCAATGCTTAACTCGCGCATGCCTAACATCAACAAAAATTTGACACAAAATACCGTTACATTCGTTATCCGAGACAAAATTTTTGCAAAATAAAAGTTCGTTAACTGATTTGGTCGTTAACCAGGACATTCATTAACCAGGGTTCCACTGTACTTGGGAGCAGTTTTTCGGGTTGATATATGGAAAAGTAGTCAGTCAGGTAACTTATAAAATTTGTATGGAAATAGACTTGTGATTTTACTAGCTGTTACCTGCGACTTCGCCTGCGAAAATTTTGCAAGTAAACCCCATTTATATTCAGTATTTCAACAACCATAGTAATTGTTATATAACACCTACTAACACCTACCGCTGAGAATGATGAGAATTGCCGAGAATCAAACGAACTATTTTCAATTTGATCAATTTTCTGGAACGTTTACAATCGTTCTATAATCGAACCAATATGCAATAACAAATTTGAATTTAAAACGGTTCGAGCATTTTTAAAATCAAAATAGATAAAAATATTTATAACAATGTCTGAAATGTTATTAATTTAATACACCTAACTACTCGATGAAGACTAAATCCTCTCCCTCTCCTCCGAGGGGGAATTTCGAAAAATCCCTTCTTAGTGTGCATTGCCATGGCATACCCTACTAAAACGCAGATAAAAACAAAAAATCGCATCTAAAATAGTACAGTAGAAGCCATTGTTTCGGTTAAGCCTTAATCCTCCCCCTCTCCCCTGCAGGGGAATTTCAAAAAATACCTTCTTAGTGTGCGTTTCCATGACATACCCTGTCTACCAAATTTTACCTCTTTAGGTTAAGCGGTTTGCTCTGGGCGATGATGAATCAGTGAGTGAGTGAGTCAGTCAGGACAAGCAATTTTATATATTTAGATTTAAATAACTAAATTTATATGAATTTAAATTGAGTTATTTTGGTTAGTATATTCTACTATTATAATCTTCATGATGATAAATGTACAAATTTATGTTTAAAAAAACAGTTAAAAGTTTTTTGTTTACTTTGAAATTTGATACTTCATGAGATATTGCATGTTTATTTTATGTGACTACTTTTACAAAAAATGATTACAATCAAAACATTAAATGATAAATCAGAGGTATCTGACTTTTTGCAGACTGGATTACAATTCTTTATAAATAAATATAATCTAACTTCTATTTTGTAATCATTTATCATAGGGATTCCCAACCTTTTTCTTCCATTAACTCCTATATAGAAAATATTCTTTACAATAGACCCCTTTAACATTTTTATGTTATTTTCCAAAATTTTCATAATATATCAAGTAAATTATTAAATCAGTTAATGAATTTTTCACATGATTGTTGTTATTGTTGAAAATTATCTGAAATTCTCAAAAAAATGCAATAAGTGTGTGATTTTTTCATCTATCCCAAGTGACCCCTTGAGTTCCATTAAATTTTTTCAAAATTTCATTAACTTCAATGAGTCTATATCAACCCTGTTTGGAATCCCTGATTTATTGGTTTTATCTTAATATTAACCAGGACTGTGGAGTTGATAGACATGTAGCAGTTTTCTAAAATTCTGATTCCAATTCTTGCCTCTAAATAATAATTTGTAATATACTTTGATTACATTAGCTCAGAATGGCATTTCATCACTACCAAGTGAATCTTCGTGCTACTACTTCAAGTGTTTTTTTTTTAAATGACTCAACAAACATTTCCTATGAAACCAAAGTGCTTACTTAGTTTTCTTTCAATTTTTCATTATCACTACTATCATTTTCATATTGAACCAACTGACATGCAATGTTTTCTATCTGTGATTGTAGTAAAGTATTTAAACACTAGATTTAGATTTAACCCAAATTTTCTTAGATATTTTGTATGAGTCTTTCAACAAAAAAAATGTAACATATGAATTCAAATATAAATTTCTGAAAAGAAAATCAACAATGATATGCCGAGAAAAATCATGAAGTAGGGAAATCATCATAAAATAAGATCTTGCATTACAATAGGTGCCTATAATGCAAGGTAAGAGGTTAACACTTCTGTTTGAAGCTTACTATAAAGTATGTAATAAAAAAAAAAAAAAACAGGAGTTGGTCCATTTTTACTGACTCAAACTCCACAGCCATGGTTATTAAGTAATTATACTGTGAAACATTATATTAACAGAAAATTTCTTTTTATAAGAAATTATCTTATTGATCATGCTTATACATATAACTAACACTTTATCCTTGCCAAGAAATATAATTTATTTCAAACAAACATTTTCAGCCTGATTCACATGCCATCCCCAGGTTGAGAACCAAATTTGAATTAAAGGATTCCATTAATGGAATACAAAATTAAAAATTAAATAAGCAACGGAATAAGATAAAATAAAAAATTAAAATATTAAATAACCAACGGAGTAACATAAAATAAAAATATAAAAATTAAAAAATGTACCTAGAAGTATTAAGAAATACAATTACTAGCACATCCAATAAAATTACTATTTTGACTGGTTAGAGCTTTTATTAAATTTCTTAACTATAAACTTCCATGCAGAGGGAAGACTTTCTGCATCCCTCGCATTTAAACAGCCTTCCTGTATTTTACTCCTATAAATCTGCAACTTTTCAGCTGTCAATGCCAAAGATGGGGAAGATAAAGGTTCTCTGATGGCTGCCTCATTCCATTTGACTACAGATCCTGGTGCTTGTGCCATTTGGGACAAAATTGTTGCATTAGACTCCTTTGATATTATAACTATGTTCCTTGATTCTAAGTCCCAAACTCCTGATGGTTACTCCAATATAGTCTTTTTTAATGCCCAATTGCATATTCTCATAAGGAATTCTATAAACCCCTGCTTTCTCCTCTGACATTATAGCATCTTTATAATTTCTGAGGATTTTGTATAAATTAGGGGCCCTTTTTATAAGCATTCTTGAACCTTTTCTGCGAGCAATCTCTCATAATGCTTTTCATACTTTCATTATATGTAAATTTTACAATTCCAGTGGGAGCATTTTTAAAAGACCCTTTCTTGAAGTTTGCTCTAACCAGTCAAAATAGTAATTTTATTGGATGTGTTAGTAATTGTATTTCTTAATACTGTACTTCTATGTACATTTTTTACATTTTTAATTTTTTATTTTATCTTATTCCGTTGCTTATTTAATTTTTAATTTTTAATTTTGTATTCCATTAATGGAATCCTTTAAATCAAATTTGGTTCTCAACCTGAGGATGGCCTGTGAATCAGGCTGAAATCATTTGTTTGAAATAAATTATATTTCTCGGCAAGGATAAGGTGTTAGTTATATGTATAGTGATTTGCTGAGTACTTTGATATTGTGATCATGCTTATATTTGAAAAATATTTCTAATCATTTCTCTTATTTGATTTTCTACATTGTCTACATTTAGTTTTCTCATTTTTAAACAATCTTATTTATTTTTGTAATTTTTGCAGTAAGATATCAATGATATCACTTTGCATTTTCTGCATCTGTTATTAGATGTTTAATCTCTCTTAAATAGTTAATTGATTTGAAACAGTAGTCTTCATCACAAATAAATTCTGTTTCTTTAAAAACTATACAAGCATTCACAAACCAAGAATATGATTTTATCTTACAAATAATTTAATAGGTATTTATGATAAAATATTTTTTTCTGTAATAAAAAAATGATAGATTCTATAGATTTTGTTGTTGTTGTTGTGATATATCATTTTCTTGGTTAAATAAATCTATTCTTATTTTAAATTATTATATTATAGATCATCTATATAATCTATAGAAAAGTTTTTTAGTATTATTCACAACTTCCTCTTATCAAAATATTAGCAGCTTATATTTAAAATATAATAAATTGATGAATTAATCTGAAAATTCCTGTTAGAACTGTAAAACTAAAACATCAAGGAAAAATGAGGCAATGTGCAAGTACTATAAATGTATATTTTATTAAAACAGATAATTTAATTATATTGTATCATTTAAAAAATAAAACTTAAACATTTTATTTTTTCATGTTATTTCAGAATTTTTTGAATAAAATTAAATTGAAAAAATATTTAATTTTATTCATCATATAATTAGAAATATTGATTAAATTTTGTATATATTTTAATAACTTTGCAAAATACTTTATTTAATGCAGAAAGACGTTTTGCAAACAAATAGCCAATCACTTTCTTCTGTAGAAGAATCGAAAGAAGTAGCTTTAAGCAGTAGTGATTATCAAAATTTGGTACAAAACAAAAATTTCAGCACCTCAGAAATAAAAATGGATTGTACAGACGTAAAAAATATGACAAATACTTCAAAAAGTTTAGTACAGCAAAATTCTGAAAAAAGAGAGAGCTTTCTTAATAAAAACTGTAAGAAATTAATTGAAAATACAAATTTATCCTATAATAATCCCAAACAAAATGTAAACAAAGAAATTTCTGTTCGTAAAATTGGAAGTAATCGTTTCAGAAAAAGTGGATTATTGTTGAAAGAATATAAGTCACCTGTTAACAATGTAAAAGAATTTTCAAGCATTAAAAATAATAATAAACCATCAAAATCATTTAATAAGTCATCTTTACGCCGAGGACGTCCAAACACATTGAAAACTGGTCTTCGTTCACCTTCCCAATTCAAAAATAATTCTGAATCTGTAATGCATAAAAGTACAGATTCATATCTTCACATACACTCTTCTGTAAATGATAAATCTTGTAAAAATATTCCATGTAATGTAGATAAAAATAAGGAATTGAATGGATTTGAAATATTTCAAGATGATGGAAATGACATAAATAATGATGGAAATTCAGAAATTGATGAAAATGAAAAAGAACATGAAAACTGTTATTTTTCTAGAGAAAATACTATTACAAAATGTTCTACTCCCAAAACATTACAAATTAAATTTAATTCACAAGAAGTTTTTCTTGAGAATTCAAAAAATTCATCTAATATTATTTGTTCAAATTATGATAATATGAATAATAATGAAATATGTTTTTCAGGACGTCAAATCAGTCCTGTAATTCAAAGTGCAGAAGAAAAAGAGAACTCAGCTCAGTTTAATCAGTCAGAAAATCCTTCCAAAAGCAGTGGTTTATCTCACATTAGTGATAACTGTGAAAATTTAAATTATTTGAAAACTGACTCTGGTGTTAATGATACATCTGATCTGAATGTTTCACAATTAATATCAGAAAAATCATTCGATAAAGATGATAATTCAAACTTAACTGAATTTCATTCATTTAAAAACATGGATATTTCAGAAAAAGATGGTTGTACTTCATCAGACATTCCAGGTAATTTACAATGGGTTAGTGCTAAAAATTATTTTTCAAATTGTGAAGTTAGTACAGATGAACATGTAAAAAGAGAGAGTATTATACAGTTACGAATTAAAAATGCAGGAATGGTGCAAGCAAACATTCAGCGTTATAACAACATTGAAAGTGAAACTAATGGAGGCAATCCAAAAGATTGTAAAGCTCAAAAAACTGAAGCAGTCACTCCAGTTCGTATCCCAAGTATTTTTAAGAGGAACGATTTTGGAACAAGATCACTTTATAGAAATATTAAGCTAACTGAAAACTCAAATCATCATAATTCCAGTTTAATCCATAGATCAGTTAGCATGAAAGATAAAGATCACGAATTTAAGATTCCCACACCAATGAGTTTGAAAAAACATACCAAAACAAATGTTACTCCTTGTACTAACAAACCAAAAGTGTCAAATAGAATACCTCGATCAGCATCTAGCAAGACAAGTAAAGAAATATTAAGAAATTCAATTAATGATGCCAAACATCATTCCCTGAGATCATCCGCTAGTCCAATAGATCAGGACTCTTACACCACATATTTAAATAATTCGTCCAGGATAGCTTCGTTAGATTTCGGTTTCATTGATGAATGGCAAATGGAAATGTGATATTTGTATAATAATAATCATATCTTGTTTACTCAGCTATTCAGAATTGATTGATAATTTTCTTTATGTACAGTTTACTTTCATTGTAATATTGAAAAAATATATATAATTTTAATTCATTCAAAGGGCCTGAGTAGTTATTTTGTGTGTACTCAAAATTTTATAATAATCTTGGTATGAATTTAATTAGCAGAGAAAAGATGGTGTAATGCTGTAAATATAACATTTTAATTGTATTTTATTTTGAATAAGCAATATGATTAAATAAATGTCCCTTAATAAAAGTTTGTTACAAGGTTCCATTAAAAAATGCATTTTGTATACCTGTTTTCACATTTTAATCATGCATACTATAAATGATAATTATGTAATCAATATTTATGACTATAATTTTGTACAGTTGTAAATTTATGATGATGATTTTTCATAATTTGAAATTTTTGAGGTAAAAATTATATACAAAAATTTTAAAATAGTTCAAATAAAAATTTTTATAATTCTATTTATTTTTTAAATAACATAATTTGTCTTTTTGTGGTTTGTCTGTCATTATGTATTGTTTTTGCAACCTTATTTTGAAATTAGCTCATAATTTGGATAAATATTATACTCTGAATATAGTGTTTATGCATTCTGAATACGATGTCATTTACCCACCAAAAAAGAATTACAAAGTGTATACCAATTGAGCATTCGCATTCTTTTGGACATAGCTATAGCATTACTCAACATAGGACTGTTTGAAGTTATGATGGTCGTCTCAAAGTATTTGTAGTAGCCATAACAATTAATGCAAGATGCATACAGTTGAAACACAAGCAGAGCTATGCTGCAGGCTGTATAACTGTAGAACAACTTTATGATAACTATAAGTTCATTATAACTATCAAATCTTTTACATTTGTAATTTTTAATTCAAAATAGCCATTGCCGTCTGTTCATGTGATTTTTCAGTTATCCAAGATAACATCAGTCCACATTACCTCAGATAATCAGGGTTCTACTGTAAATGTAAAGGTAAATATCACTGATTTAAGATTCCCATGTCAATTAGTTTGAAAAAAACAAAACATTTACAGGGTTCCTACGCACCTGGAAAGTCAGGGATTTTCATTATTTTTTGAAAAAGTCAGGGAA